TGAATAGATTGGTGTTGTTTTTTGACAAACATCTTTCAATTAATTAGTTTTTCAAGCTGTTTTGCAACCATAAATCTTGTAAGAAAACACAGGACATCGCAAATTAATATATAAGTGTATGGTTTTAAAAAATTATTACCTTGTTAGTGAGATGTTTTATTCATTTTGAGCCTTCAAGAGCAGGCAAGATTGAGGGGGTTTTGAGTTCACAAGAAGACCGAAATTTGTAGTCTCTAAATTGCAGTGAAGGCATCTTATTAGTGTGAGCTGATGTTATGAGCTAGCAATCATTTGTCTGACCAGCCATGGTTGATTTGCAGTTAAAGTGGACGGTGGGGATAGGTAGTGGGGGATTAGGGCATAATCTTCTTTTTTAATCTTTAAGAAATTACTGAGTACTCGCTTGCCAAAATGACATAGGTTTGCATAGGAATACATATTCTTGTTACACAACGAGACCAAGGAATTTTGGAGTATGGTACATGCAGGGGTTAAATGTCTTATTTTGACTGTCATGGAGATCCTGTAGAGTAACATTTGTACCACAAGATCTCTGATGACATTTTACAGTAACCTGAACGCATGAAAAATCCTTGCACATTATCTCCAGCTCGGTTTAAGCACTAAAAGGACAGTAATCATGTCATGCTTGCAATTGTATAAAAAATTTGGTTGGTCCATGCATCATGAGGTCAATCATCACAGTAGTCGTGTTTTCGAACTGCGCATTTTGGCTGTCGCCTTTCAATTTCAACAACACGCAATGCCTGGCCGCTTTTCTATGACGTAACAGCCTTCAAGTCACATCATGGTTACACTTGAACTGTATCAATTCAATCGGGGGCTCGAGTCAAAAGAAAACAACGGATGCTGATCACCACAGTAATCCCTGTTTTTCAACCAGGCATTTTGCTCCTTGCCATTCAAGTTCAATTCTAAAACGTGATGCCTGCGTGTTCAGGTTACTGACTTGGGATAAGATGTATGCGATGTTACCTCATGCCTTGTAAAGTTATCACATACATATTTTGATATGCTTGAATGATAACATGTTTTCTTAACTGTACAGGTACATCACTATTCTTTTTTATCTAAATAACGTGGAAGAATGAGATGAAACAGCTTTTCTTGTAGCAGATACGAAAAATTTCAATGAAACAGTGAGTACAGCTCGTCATGATTCCTTATTAACATGAACTGATGTACAAATACTTACTCTATAGCTACTTACACACACACACACGCACCCAAAAAAAGAAAAATGAAGGGAAGAATGCAAATAAAATTAATTTTCATGGAGTTGGACCGGCGTTGAACACGTAGCAATGACAGACGCTGTCAATTGTATCAACACTTTCTGTTTCCGTTCAGTTCTTATATATTTTTTGCGTTGTAGTTGTTTTTCTTGTGTGGGGTTTTTTTTTTTGTCGTTGTTGATGATATTATCAAGAGAGAGAGGGGAGGAGGATGTTGTGTATGCCGCTGACCACTTGTAGGTACAAGTTTGGGAAATGTACTTTGCTTACCATTGAAGGAATTGAAAACCTTGTATCATATTTGAACATTTCCTGCTTACAAATAGGGCTTGTTCCTTTTGAAATTATAAGAGTCTTTGTCAGAGATAACGAACTTGATTTGCAAAATGTTTATGAGAGTCCAAAAATTGAACATTTGCCTTTCAGAAATAAAAGAAACCAAGCACAACATATGAAAAGGAAGCAAAAGTCTTTAACTGAAATGCCAGAAGAGATAGAAAAACGAGTGATTGCTAAACATGAATATGAGAAATGAAGAAGGGTAAATGAAAGTGAGGAATCTAGGGAAAAGAGGCTAGCCCAGCAGCATCTGACCAGGGAAAAGAAACGTGCAAATGAATCTTCTGAATCAAGAAAAAAGGGGGTTGGCAAACCCAATCTCAGTATCAAAGACAAAAAATTGCAAATGAATCAGCAGAATGTAGAGAGGAGAGACTGTTAAACCAACGTCAATATCAGAACGAATTGTGTTCACCCAGGCTTTCTTTTGGAAATAAACTTTGTTTTTGTGCTTGACTCTCTTTGCAGTCACATTTCACATAAGTCATTTACTGGAACATTTTTTATCTTGAATTTCTGTTTATACCACATGCTCAGTGAGAAAATTACTAAACCAGTCTTTTTGGTACATGCAAAGATAAAATTTTGGTTAAACTGCAAAATACCTTACCACCTATGGCATTACATGTCTTTGAATACAAATAGAATCAACCATTTTTAGCCAGTAGTGAAAATAGGACTTTTTTGTTGCCATTAGAAAATCAAATCTGGAAATTCAATTTGATGGCCTCTTTAAATGAAATTATACTTTCATGGTTACATAGCTAAACCAATAAAAGTCACAAACATCTAACGCCTAACCTGAAACTGCGGTTTGTTGTTAACAAGGTGCTAAATGTCTATTGTGACTGTTTCCAAACTTTGGGGAGTAATCCAATGAAATTCAGTAACAAAGTGGTTTTGCTTTTATTAATAGAATAATAGAAGCTTCGTACTTTATTGTTAACTGAAATGTGATTAGTGTTATGTTTTAAGTTATGGCCAGAATTATTCAGACCTTAACATCTCATGACTTCCTTCAAGCTTGGCCTTCTTCTAGATTCTCTTCATACTTCATAAAATTACACTTTTTTGATTGGCTGAAAATAGCAAGGTCCCTTTTTCATTTATCATTAGTGAAAAAGTAATAACTCATGTACAAAATAATATAAACTAGGCTCAGCAACAATAGATCACATTAGAAACTAATCAGATTTACACAAAGTAGGTTCTGATTGAAACATGCAGTAGCTGACAAAAATAAACAAAAGCTTGGATACTTTTATGTACTTTGATAAACACTAAAAAATTGCACTCCAGAGTAAGAATTCAGCTGAAGGACAAATTTTGATGGCACACACTTCATTTAGTCAATACTGTCAAATTTTTCTGCCATCAGTTTGTTGATTTCCTGTAAACGTGTATCTTTCATGTATACGTTATGAATAATTAATAATTAATAACATTATTAATTTTTCACCTGTAAATTTTCACCTGTAAATTTTTCAAGTACTTTAAACTGCACACACGCTATGATCTCAACATTTGTTGTTTGTGAAAAATTTACTTCTGCTTTAATTTAGAATACCAAAGTACACTTTAATTAACTTGGCTTAGACTTTGTTGAGTTTTTATGAAGACAGTTCTATGGAACTGACATTTGTTACGTTTATAGTGAAAAGTTCGAGCTACTTGATGTGGATTAGATAACCATCAGGTATCCTCAGAGACCCAGGGTTCTAATCACATCTGTAGACCCCTTAAAAGCACAGTCTTAACAGATCAGTTCCAAACTGTGACGGTCATTCTAAATTTTGATTGGTACCAGAAGTTCAATCTTGTTCTGGCAAATGAGAGAGAAGCCGGTCTCACAAGTTCTCTTGTGTGCTCTAACACAAAGTGATACATGAAATTCAGTTGCTTACCATGTTTTTTTGGGACCTTTTTGTACAGTAGATTAGCACTTTGCATGATGATGTGAAGTTCACCCATTCATTTCTCCACATAACTTGAATTTGGTAGACTCACTGGCATGAAATGAAAATTTCAATAATAAGAAAACTTGAAAGCTTCTGGTAGTTTAAATCATATGATACCATCATGAACTTGCCTATACATTGTGTTTAAGTTATGTCTCTGATTACTGTTCCTGAAATCTATTATGGTGACACTATCTTTATTGAACTTTTTTTTAAATAAAACCTCCAGGTCAAATTGCAAATCTTATTGGGTTAAAAATTATTAGCAACATTAATGTAATGTTACTTCAGAGTACTTAACTCAACATATGATTAATTAAAGTATTGCTTGTGCTTTGATCTTGTAATGCACCTATCTTTTTTCCCTAGACTCTTCCATTTGCAACCTCATATCTACCTACCTGAACTAAATTTTTCTGTGTTCTTTATTGAAAATACAGTCCCACAAAACCTAAATACAATAATTATAGTAAACGTTTTGCTCTCAACCAACTGAAAGTTGAACTTTATGCCCTAATGGACAAAAGAAACCTACACTCAGCATTGTGTTACTTTACATGTATGTATTGTCCACAATAATTCATCATACATTCAAACCAAATCAAGCTCCCAATATCTTCTAGGCTAGAGTACATCATTTCCTGAATGTCCCTGCCCTTCTCCAAAGTCTTGTCCTTGTGTACTGGTACACAAAATGTCAAAAATATTCATATGAAATGCTTCCCTAGAGTTCATTTCACATCACTTGCCTTGGAAAAGACAATCAACCTACAATCGTTACGTAAACATGATCATGACTGAATCTATCAGGCCACTATGGGAGATTATGTTGATGTTTTTTCAGTTCCTTAAATCCTTGGGTTACATGTGTAACCTTTGTTGTCAAAATGAGATCTCCAAAACAAAGTTTGGCCGGTAACTCTCATCTTCAAAGTTAAAATTTCAGGACTTTTGTATGCTAGTTATCTTGTGTTATTGATGAACAGGATCAATATTGAAAACTATCTAATGGTAATCAGATATTAGCTCTTCTGATAGAAACCCAATGAGACACCAGACACTAAAAAGCAGCTCAATTTCGTAAGCCATACATGTACGCATTGCGGACCTATTTTTGTCAACTGTTGTAGTCATGGTAATCGGCCATCCGTGAAGCGGAGGTATCAATTATATTTTGTGGAATCTGTAATATAGGTTAGCAAGGGAAAAAAAGTGCAAATATGTTAACAATTACACAAATTCAGGAGCGAAAACGAAGTACGTGTACCTTTCTACGTTATCTTGCGAGTCTAAATTGCTCATGAGAGCCTTCATCACGAAGATAACATCGGGCGAGCTCGGATTTCGTAATCGGAAATCGACTCGAGATGACTTCTGACGGATCGCGGAGTATGCACGACATCGCCCGCTGAACAATATTAACGAAGGCACTTTTAAGAAATCTATTATGGCGTCTCTACCCTTCGTGGGAACTTTAGATTCAGATGACGATGTTGACCAGTTGGATAACGAAAGCGATAGCGAAGAAGAAGCAGAAGAGGTAGTTGGCCATTAGTTTTAATACCTCTTGATGTGAAGTAATGTTTGAGAGTGATTCATTTGCTTTACAGATTGTTAGGAGCAGCAGAACTAAGAAGAAAGGAAGTTCGTCTTTTGATAATGATTTCCAGTTCATTTCCGGAGAGGGGTTTGAAGATGGCAATGAAGATCCGTGGAATCTGGATGCAGCCATTAGATTTGCAAAACACAAACAAGAATCGGTGAGCTGATGTTCTAATCTTGGGAACCATACAAAGGGCCTGTTATTCCTTAATTCACAATTTATGGTTCAATAGTGAACACGTGCTGTGCTCTCGTGTCCAAGTTCTTGCTGTAAAAATAATGTCTGAAATATGTCGTTTCATTTGCTGCCGTGGTCATTTTGTGGACAACTGAACTGTTTTCTGTCCTATATTATTTGGTTTAACTACAACTTGTTTTTAGCGAGTGAAGTTTCGACCATGGGAATGGTATGAGATCATGTTATTCAGAGTTAGACCTGTCTACACGACTACATCGAGAGGTTTCCCTTTAATTTTTTTTTCTCACGTATCTTGCTAGCCATAGCAAATGCAGTGGTTGAAATATTGATCAAAATTATTGACAATGTTTGTAAAAATATTCCCGCGGATGGATGATGCTCATTGTTCGTAATGAGTTCACTGGTTAAAGGACTACAGTCTATTTATTTGTTTGGTTGTTTTTTTGTTAGAATAATAACTCATCAAGCCTTCAAGACAAAATAGTGAAGAGAAGAGAGTTAAAGAAGCAGGTATGACAGGTTATTTTTGTAAAAGGGCATGCGGAGCGATTTTTGTTTTACTCTTTTATTTATACGTGTCCAAATTACAAATAGCATGCGCTGTCAACATTTTGTTTATGTTTACTTTCTGTGAAGCTTTTTTCATGTAAAGTAAAAATATGAAACAAAATGATTTCTTGTGCAATTCGGTGTAAATAAAACTTTTAAAAATTTTCAAAAGACTAAAAATTTCACACACCTTGCAAGCTCGTGCAATTTTGTTGTCTTTGAAAAATTCACTTGTGCTTATTGACACCGAATTGCATGAGAAATCATGTTATTACCTATACTTTTCACAGATGTCATCCATTCAACACTTGATGACAGAAGCCAGCTTTTTTCCAACTTGATTTAACCCTCATACTACATGTATGTGATCACTTGCATGTTTATAATAACAGTGAATTGTAGTTTGCTTAAAATACTGCAGTTGTAACAACTTTAACAAATTTTTAGAGGAAATCAGAGAAGGAGAACTTACTTAGTCAAACTATAGTTGGGGAAGAAGATGACATCAAAAATCAGAGTAAAGGGAAACAAGAAAAGGAGATGGAAGGGAATGGTGTGAATAACATAGGTGAGTAACATTTCTGTGATGCATATGTAGTTTAATTTTAAACTGATTTGTAGGTTGGGTTAATGTTACTGGAGCAGAGCAAAATTTCAGGTCATGTTGGTTTAAAGGCATAGTTTTTGTTAGAAATACATCTTTGTTGTACATGTACTTTAAAATTAATGTTAAAAGTTTTGATTTGTGAGGCTAATTTATAAGGTACATGCACAAGTCAATGGAAGAGAGGGAAAACAAACTGATTCAATCTGAAATTCATTTTAAATTGTAAAATGCAGCTACAGTTTAGTTGTTAGTTGTTTTAATTTTTGTATTTTTGTGATTGGAGTCTCTTGCCAATTTTGGGTTGCTTGTTAAAAAAACTTTTGCTACTGGAAAATACTCATTTGGCTGTTTTAAGCCCTCATAACAAACATACATTTTTATTATTGTAAGCTATTATAATAAACAGCTTAGTTGTGCAACTAAGTGCATGTATGTATAGTAGAAACTCTCTAATCTGAACTCCTAAGGAAAACAAAAATGTTTTAGTTAGCAGGGGTTCAAGTTAACTGGTAGTGAATGACTGGAAAATGGGATTAAGAGAAATCAGATCTTGAGCAAGTTACCAGAAAGTTTGACTTAACCAAGTTTAAGTTAGCAGGGTTCTATTGTATATTGTAACTTACTATTATTGCTGATCTAGGTAACTTAATACCTCAGTTATAGTATTGATACACAATGTATAATTATGTGTGCTACACTCTACATCTGTGGCATTGCTGATCAGAGAAAGAGATTTATCATTTTTTGTAGACAATTCCATACAAAATTCAGATGATGAAGACAGCACTTCAGAAGATGAAGAAACTATTGATAAGGTATGTGTAAATGTTAACCCTCTAACCCTGAAGAGTGACTAGCATCTAATTTCTTTTTACAGTAGTACCCCTGAATCATGCAAAGAGGTCATGAGTATAAAGAAAATTATCAGCTAAAGAAGCTGTTGATTGTTACACCAATTCTCCCTGTCAGCACCCTAGGGAATGTATGGAGAACAGTATGGAGATTTTATGTTGTGAAGGGTTACAACATTTTCTGGATGTTTCTAGTTTGAAATCCATATCAAATAAGATATAGAAAAAATTGGTAAATCATTGTTCAAATGCTTGGTTGTAGCCAATACATGTAGAGTTTCCAAGGTGAACACATTGGTGTTGCTGTTTGACAAACATCTAACAATTAATACAGTGTAAGTTTTCCAAACTGTTTGCAAACCCTAAAGCAAGTTAAAATTCAGGACATGGCACAAGAATATAAATGTATGGTTTTATGAATTTATTACTTAGTTAGTGAGATGTTTTATTTTGTAAACCCAAATTGTTTGCAAAGAAATACATATTCTTGTTACACATTAATAATAAGGAATTTTGGAGTATGGTATATGCACAGGTGAAATGTCTTATTTGGACTGTCATGGAGATCCTGTGCACTTGTGCATTACAGAAGGGTTGGTTTGAATTGATGGAGAGGTCTTAAAATTTATGTTCTGACTTATTTTCAGGTTACTGAGAAGAAAAATAAGTTTTTTGAAGAACCTCCACCTCAGCTGAAACATCAAAATTTTGCAACAATGAATTTGTCAAGACCTTTATTGAAGGTAATATATGAACATCTTTGCATGCTGTCTTTAAAAAAAGACTGTCACTTTTTTATGTCTGTCAAGTACAAAGCTTTAAATTGCTGCAATTTGTTGGTAATGAGTATGGAGCTGTTTGTGTTAGAGCACTTTTGTCAACACTTTGTTGAAAATTTGGTCTTGGATTAAAGAAAAACTTCAAACCCCTTAAGCTGTAGGCTTTTTTAAATTTCTTCATCCTATTGGATATGCAGAAGTATTTTATATATACAATTTGAATCAAAGGAAATGAGACTAGATAACTTCTTACCAGTTGAAAAAACTTGAAAAGCAGAGAAACATTTGTACCACAAGATCTTTAATGAAATTTTACGGTGTACTGAACCTATGAATAATCCCTGCAGATTATCCCCAACTCAGTCTTAGCATTAGAAGGACAGTTATCTTGTTGTGCTTGCAATTGTATAAAAAAATTTGGTCAGTCCATGCTCTTGCCTTTGTAATTGGAAGGTACTCATCATTTGCATTTGTGCTGATGTGTACATGTACACGTACATCTGCAGACTATTGGGGTCATTTTCTAATGGTAATCTATAGTCAGCCTGGACCCAGTTGCTCAAAGGGGGATACCTCTATCTAACTGATAAATTGCTATTCAGCAGATAAATGATAACAGAACATACTGTGCTATCTTTCAGTTGGAGATTGACCTCAGTGGATAGCGTTATCCACTGTTTGAACAACCAGGTCCAGGGCCCAGTTGTATAAAGGAAGATAACGCTATCCAACGGATAAATTGCTATCTGGTGGATAGGTGTGAGAACAACGTACTGCGCTTTCCACAGGATAGAGATTTATCCAGTGAATAGAGTTAACATAGCTTCAAATAACCAGGGCCAGATCTATAGTTATGTCAACCAATGGGTGTTTGTTTCGCACATTTTGTCATAGTTTTGATTAATTCGAAACAGGACTTTGTGTCATCCAATTCATTCAGCAATGATACAGTGTACTCCTAGTGAAGAAACTGGACTCCCATTTTGCAGTTTTTCAATTTCTTTGTTAATCACTGGTAGAGACTTAATATTAAACTACTGTACATGTATACTTCGTTATATTATGGGACCACGATTTATGTGACTGTGTATATCTCCAGGCTATAAATGAGTTGGGATTCAATCACCCCACACCTATACAGGCATCAACTGTTCCAGTGGCCCTGATGGGTAAAGACATCTGTGCGTGTGCAGCTACAGGAACAGGTTGGTAAATTTGCAGCAAATATAAGCTCAATTTGATGATTTTCAAGACTTATTGATATATGAAATATGTGAATTAGAGTAAGAAACTTTTTCTTTATCACTCATCATACAGCTGGATGTAGCTGTCTTTTCATTTGAATCTTTTAAATTGATATTAAGATTATTTTTTAAAATTTTTTTTAAAGGTTGAAAATGGTTTTTTTTGAACCAACATCTGGGTCAGTTTTTTCTGGGCCTCTAATGGGTTGATTTCAAATTAAAAGCCATCTGTTTTCAATGTCATTTTTACAAATTTACATTTCTTGCATATTTTTTTGGTATCTACTCATTCAGGTAAGACAGCAGCCTACATGCTTCCAATACTGGAGAGACTGATTTACAGACCACAACAGTCTGCCGTGACAAGAGTGCTCATTTTAACTCCCACCAGAGAACTTGCCATTCAGGTAAAGCAGATTATAAACTATGTAACTGTATGCACTTTTCATTTCTATGTACCACAGGTATGTTACTGGTTGTTAATTATTTTTTATATTGAGAAATGAATGTCTAGTCACCATTTTCTCTCAAAATATACGTAGAGTTGCTGGCAATAGAGAGCTTGGCAATTACAATTACTGTATTATCGCAATTGATAAGGATAATGAGACAGAAGAATTAAATGTTCATATTTTGTGGTTACCTTAAAAAACAAATGCATAATTCTCAACAATGTTGAGGACTTATGGTTGTTGAAAGGCACATTTGCTAGATTGATTTGAATTGTAAAACTGTAAAACTAATGTATTAAGGGCAATTGAGTGAGCTGAGTTGTCATTCACTCATCATTGGCAAAATACAGTATAATCACAATATACAATTAAGTCATTTTGTTTCATTTACACTGTGACTATATCTTGCCTGCTTTGCTGAACACAATTTTCATTAGCAGTAATAGGATACAATGTTTGAACTTTGTGTTGTGATCTGATAATGAAGTGAAAAAAATTATGTGTAGATGATTCAGTTGCACTAACAGGTGGTTGTTACACATTTGTGTCTAAGTGAACCTACATGTGTATGTTGTGAAAATTTACTCCCTGTTTTCATGGTATCATATGGCTGAAATGGGGGAATTTTTTTTATCATTTTGAAGGTGCACTCTGTGACCAAAACCTTGTCCAAACACACAAACATCCAGGTCTGCCTGGCCACAGGTTGGTGATGTTATTTATTTATTCATTTGTCATTTTCATTTATCAGTTATATATTTATTGTAAGTTTCTGTTTATCAGGGTATTTTAAATCTTTAGACAGAGTGCAAATTAAGTTTCCGTAAATCATGTTGAATTTATAGTGTTGATCAAGTTACTGGTATATATTAAAACAAGGTGACAAATCTTTCCAAAAGTATGATATACATGTACACATGCAGTGCACACTTTCTGATTGTGTGCATGTAGGTCAGTTGTGCAATATTACACCATCACCTGATAGCAGAAGCCAAGATTTATACTGTATATCTCTCTAATATTGTACATCAGACTTTCTATGCTTTGTCCATGCAGGTTTTCTACTTGTGCAAATATTCTCATGTATCAAAAAAGGAACATATACAGATTTAAGAGTTTTCAAAATGAGCTAGCAACTGGTGCAATGTACAGTCTACTATGAAAAACACACCAGCAATTCTAAATGCTTGCAGATCAAATTTTCAGCATGGAAACAAAACATTGGTGGAAATAAAACTGTGCAGTGCCGCCTACTGTGTATTGCAGTTACTCAAAATGTTTTTGACCACCCTGCAGACTGAGAAAAAACAAGACAGTGTTTTGGTTAAGAAACACCTGATCTTTTTTAATTCCCTCCTGTAACACCATTCAGTCAATGGCCCTCATAAATGTTTTACATCTATGTTCAAGGGGATATAATATTCTTTGCAGGTGGTTTGGATAGTAAGGTTCAAGAAGCAGCATTGAGGAAAGGACCTGACATTGTGATTGCTACACCTGGGAGGCTTGTGGATCATCTGCATAACACTCCTTCTTTCAGTCTACAAACTTTGGAGATTATTGTCCTGGATGAAGCTGACAGGTACACAAGAGAGACGAGTCAGTCAGTCTGTCTGACAAACAGACAGACTAAGGGACTGATGACTGATTGACTAGTTGTTTTGTTGGCTTATGGACTGGTGGACTGTTCGACTGCCAGACTTCATAACTGAATGACAAACTGAAAGTTGATTGAGAACGAACTACCAACAGACAGACTCAGAGACAGATAGATACACAGACAGACAGGTAGACAGACAGAAAGACAGACAGAAAGACAGACAGACAGAGGCAATGATGGACAGATGCACAGAAGGGTTGAGGAATAGACAGATTTTTTTTGCTCCGATGCTCTATTACTGCGTCACTGATGAACCAGCAAGGTCATATGCTCAGTTGTCATCTTTCATTTAGGTATATTGAGATGGTGCGTTGTTCATGTGTGTTTCCGTAGGATGCTTGATGAGAACTTTAAAGATCAGATGGAAGAAATTGTCAAACTTAGTCCACGAGGAAGGCAAACAATGTTGTTCTCGGCTACAATGACAGACGAGGTAAATTTTGATTCATGGTAAAAATTGCATAGTATTATATCGTATTATACATTGTAACTTTACATGTACGTAAGCCTATAATGTTTCAATTTACAAAGCAGTTTTACAACTTCGGGTATATTTGTTTGCAGAAGTGCCATGTAATCCTTTAAACCCCAAGTGTGACCAGCTTCTAATTTCTCCCTACAGTAATACTGCTGAATCGTTCATTAAGGTTATGAGAATAAAGGAAATTATAACCAACTAAAGATTCTTTGATTTTTATTCAAATTCTCCTTTTTGGAACCAAAGGAAACCTGTAGAGAAAAGTATGGAGAATGTAGATGCTGATGTTAGGGCGTAAAAGGTTAAGTTATCAGTATATGCACAAGTACAACCTCCATTACAATGCCTCTTGATTTTCACTCTAGGTGGAGGAACTTGCAACTCTTTCACTGAATCAACCAGTGAGACTGTTTGTGGACAATAACACAGACGTGGCCCACAACTTGAGACAAGAGTTTGTAAGGATCAGGAACAACAGGGAGGAAGACCGTTTAGCTATCGTGACAGGTACAATAAAGAAGACGGGCAAACCAGAACTGAAACGTACATGTAACGAGAACTATCGGCTGACTGTTCGCCGTTTGTCGACCAACAGTCGGCCCGCAAACGGCCAACAGTCGGCCGACAGCTGGCCGATAGACGACCGCAAATAGCGTTTGGGAACTTTTCTTCACTTTTTCCCCAAAACCAATCAATTAAAAGAAAAAAAAACAATAGAGACAAATTAATTAAATGTCAAGGAATAAAACAATAAACACTTGAAAATTGTCGGAAAAACGAATTTATTCAAAATTCAGCAACTGTTAGATGTAGGTTGTTCTCAAAAGTATCTTTAAGCTTTCCCCTATAGTCAGCAATCTTTATTCTTTAATTTTCCTCTTTTCCCCCGCTTCTGTGATGTACGTTTTCCTTTCACATAGAATAAAATTGAATTCAACATTTTTTGTTTATTTTGTACATACAATTTAATTTCAAATCATTTACTTAAATTTTCTTGCAGCGCTTTGCAGTCGAACTTTCCAAGAACACTGCCTGGTATTCTTACAAACGAAAAACTTGGCTCACAGACTACGTATCGTCTTAGGGCTCCTCGGGTTGAATGTTGAAGAACTTCATGGGAACTTGACTCAGCTTCAGGTGCGTGACACTTCGTTGTACATGAGTGTTGCGTTACTTTTGGAATCTATTACGTTACTTTTATAGGTTTTGCAATACATTCTGGTTTGATATAAAGTACTGTAATGACATGTACTATACTACTGTTGGTGCGAAGAACCTCACCCTCTTACTTACAAGAGAGACCAATATCTTAATTCTCTGTACAATTTTAATACATCGTCAAATGGACAAACAATAAGAATTTTGAGATTATCAACCATGAAACCAAAGTACCCATCGATACCCAAGAAAAGCCATCGTATAAATCTATGGCTAACAGTATTGGGGAAAATGTATGGGCCCAGTTGTATGAAGGGCAGTTAACTCTATCCAACGGGTAAATCGCTCTCCGGCGGATAAGCGAGAGAAAATCGCATAGCGTGATCCACCGGATGGAGTTTTATCCAGTGGATAGCGTTATCCAAACTTCGAACAACCGGGGCTTAGTTTTCAGCCTAAGGTGTGTAAAGAATGTTTTATAGAAAACTGTCAGGATAATGTTTAGTGTCGTATGGATGAGCGCTTACAGTGGCTTGGGAGACTGGGGGCGGAGAGTCCTTACGGCATGAA